AGCTATGGCAAAGTAGTGTCAAAAACTAACTGTGCTGCATGCGTGGTGCAGTATGGGCGGTTACTGGAAGCACAGCACTTTAGTAATGTCACCATATGGCAATGTGTGTAGACACACCCCATGAAACTTTGTCTTAAGGCCTCAGGGTGATGATATGTAGGATACCACAGAACATTTTTTTAAAAGGATCTATAAAGATATATGGACCTAAAAATCTAAACAGGTAGATTAGAGAGATTTCATGTTGGTTTCAAATTAACAGTGAACTGATATTGGCAATTTACCAAGTGTTGTTGCATCTGTCAAAAAATATAGAGGCTAGGTAAGGGAAACAAATTCCGCTGGTCTGATGGGAAAAATTCCCTCCTCCTCCAATAAAATAGGAATAGATTTATTAATGTTGACTGGAAAAAAAAATCTTATTCAAGACTGTTATTCTCATTTTCCAACGATACCTTTGCTCAATTATACCGCAGCAAATTAGGGGATTGTTTATGTCATGTTGTGTTTATGTTATGTTATTTATTTTCTGGATTTGGTATACCTGACCAATGCCTGACAAAATGGGTGCAGTTTAGTGGGCATGAAATTAAAGCAGTTTCTTAGCAGTGAAGTTTGGGTTTAGACATGAAACTGCTAAGGTCCCCATTACTCTGAAACCTTGTTGATGTATATTAGGGTTTTTTATATTTGGGCCCAGGCAGACGGTGTGGTATAGTAGCACTGGGAAAACAGGTTCTGCAGGTTCGCTTGGCTATGTTTTCCTGTGATAGCTGTCCAATGTTTGTACCTACCGTTATTTCTCCTTTCTTTGCCAAAGATGGACTGTGCAGAGGTCTAACATTAGGCCTACACATTATTACGTTCCATTGAATCTTTACTCCACGAGATTAAAGTTTAGGATGCCTTAGTGCAAGCCATGTGTGCAGTTTCATCTCAAGTTACCAGATCATAGAAAAATAGGGCAGGAAGAAACCTTAGTAGGTCCAGCCCCAGCTTGTGTGGGGTCAAAACCTTCCCAGGGAAATGTTTGTCTACCCTGTATGAATAATTTTCCAAGGATGGGGGTTCCATGATCTCCGTAGGTAATCTGTTTCAGTGCTTAACCACCTCCATCATTTTTTCTAGATTGGAAGTTAATAAAGTTAACAGTTCAGAAGTTACCAGTGTTACCTTTTTTTCAGTTTCTCTGTATTGAATAGAAATAGGGAGGAAAGTCAAGTTCAAGCAAGAAAATGGAACTTGAAAGAGATTTTGAAACTTTGTGACCTCCCGACATGGTCACAACTTAGAATCATTAGAAGGGTTAAGTGACCTGCGCTACCACACCTTGAGCACACTCGATTGTTGCTCATCTGTGACAATAGCACCATATCCCATCTAAAAATCTCTGGCTTTTTATTTTTCAGACTATGCGTCAAGTAAAAGCTACATTGGCCGGTCACATTCTGTAATTGCTTTTTTATCGGAGATTGGAAACCAGCATTTGTAGCCTGGTGCCCTTTTGATTATAGCAATCTGTGGGGTGGGTGAAAGCATCAGTGCTTTATTTTAAAAACCATGTTGGATCTTGGGAATAGATTCCACGAAGATGATGATGATGTATAGGAGATACTGGGAGCATCCAGATGAGATGCTTAATGTGGAGTTGCCTAATTAACTCTGCAGTAAAGCATCTCCATCTACACTTGCAGAGCTATTAGGCTGGAGTAAACTAATTAACCCACTGTAGGTTAGTACTGCCTGATACAAGTACTACGCTACAGATGCTGACTGGGGCTACCTGGGGCATGAGGGTGCTAGCCTGCCAGCTAGCCCTGCGCTGAAGCACCCTTGTGCTCCAGCCAGCCCCTCCGCAGCACATTGAGCTGGGTCAAAGTAGCCTGGACTGGCAGGCTGACCCCCAGGGCCCCCTACCAGCCAGGGCTGCTCCTCTGTGGTTCAATATGCTGTGGTCCCAGGCACATGTGAAGACACTGGGCCCGGGAGCAATAAACTCCGGCGCGAGCCGTGCTGGAGTTTATTTAGCCAGGCTAATTTCACATGTAGATGCGCCCACTGACTCCTGTTTAAACACTGGGTCATTAAATTCACTTTGTCCTGATGGCAAATCTAGTTTTTCAAGTGGTTATAAATGAATATGAAATGAAAAGAGAAATGGCATATGTTGCCATTAACATTAATGGAAGGTACATGTATACCAGGAAGAGGATATAGTTTTAAATGTGAAACTTCTTATTCTTTTCCATCATAGGGACGGAACAAACTAATAATGAGACAAAGAAAACATTTATTCCTAGCTGTACCACTGATCAGATTTCTTGTACCTGAAATCAAGGCTGTGTCTGCATTTTCATGAGTCTGTGTGTGTGTGAGCTGCTAGTTAGATTTTTGTTCTAAAATTCCTTTTGTATTCAAATATGAATAAAAGAATATTTTTCTCTTATGTTGGTGAGTAGGAAATCTATTCCTTGTCAGTGATTTTGCTAAGCCTCTCAATCTGGTTTAATATTAATTTAAACTAAGAAATGTATGTGGTTATAGACTATCATTATCTCCTAGGGGGAATCAAGTGTGGAGAGGTTTTTGCTGCATTCAGTGACATTATTGAGTGTTTAGCTACTGCACGGGGGATGACATG